GGATTACGGCTGAGAAGAAGCTTCGGCCACAGGCAAGAGTGACCCCAGGCAAGAGTGACCTGTGGAGCGCGGCTTCAGGGGGCCGCGGGGAGGCCGAAGCCATACGCGCATGCCAACGCTCTGGGGGCCCCTGTGGGCCCGCAACAAAGACATCTGGCGTCTCGATGTTTTCAAGACTCGGGCCCACGACCTCTCGACCACTTCCTCGAGACCAGTTGTTCACCCCGAGTTGTTTTTTGACGGTCCTGAGGCCCAGTGAGGGCCCCGAGAAGCCGAACAGTATGAAACGCCTCCGTCTCGACTTGTTCGAGACGCATGAGGTCTGGGAAGGTCACTCCAGCGACGGGTCATCCTCGCGCGCAGCACGCAACTGGACAACAAAAACATGAGCTGGCTTCCTGGCAAAAGCTCAGAACAAACCCTACGCCAGACTCTTCCACGCAGCCGTGTGCGCCCGCAGGAGGGTCAGAGCTCAGGCGGGCTCCCTCCTGTAGCTTCCGAAGGAGCGAGGGGCCTGGCAGGCGAGGCAAACGTGGGTCCCCTGACTTCGCTCGCCGCGCTCCTCGCAGCGCGGTTGTCTTCGCGCCCGCGTGCCCACCCCGCTGCCGGCTGGCAGGGGGAGGAGGAGGAGGAGGAGGAGGAGGAGGAGGAGGAGGAGGAGGAGGAGGAGGAGGAGGAGGAGGAGGAGGAGGAGGAGGAGGAGGCGGAGGAGGAGGAGGAGGAGGAGGAGGAGGAGGAGGAGGAGGGGGAGGAGGAGGAGGAGGAGGCGGAGGAGGCGGATGAGACGGAGGAGGCGGAGGGTCGCGATCCTCTTCGTCTCCGAATCAAGACCGCGGGTCGCGATCCTCTCTGCACCGCCGCAGGGCGACGCGGAGAACGGACAGGGGGCTGCTGCAAAACCTCGGCAGTGCCAGGCACAGTGCGCAGCAGGGACCGGCCGGGAGGAAGCGAGAAACCCGTCGGGTGGGGCTCGGTGCTATGAAAACAAAAATACAAGTAACTATGAAAACAAAAATACAAGTAAAATGTATCTCGAAGACACGGTGTCAAAAGAGAAAGAAGCGAGAAACCCGTCGGGAGGAAGCGAGAAACCCGTCGGGTGGTGGTGGGCAAAGCACGTTCAGGAACCTGTGCTCAGGGTGTCGCGGCGGCGGCCCCAGCGAAACGCCACGTCCTGCAAGCTGATACAACGTATCGCTCTGCCTCGCGGACGCTGACGCTTGGGGACTGGGACGCAACGTGTCGCGCCGAGGCGTGGTGGGCAAGAACAGGCGGCGCGACACGCTAAGCCAAAGTTCCCAACCGTAGATTCGCGCGCGGAGGTTCGTATGCGCTGCCACTACTCGCAGGTAGCCCTCGAAAAAACACCCAACGCCGCGGGCAGCGCCGCCGCAACTGCGGCGGCACCGCTATGCCCCCGGGCCTGGGAAAGACGTCAAGCGTGCGCTCTAAACAGCTTCTCAAATGTAAGCGCGCAGGACGTCGCGGGCTACTGCACGTGCGACAGGTTAATAAAACCAGTAAGGGTGGTACTCCACGCATGATTGCTAAAACAAGCCAGGCGCGCTAATTCGCGGGCATTTGCTGAACTCCCGGCGCCCACTGCAGACGCGCTCCGTCTCCAGCCAGGAGCTGGCCAAGCTACAAACCACAGTTGGAATTGCCACAGGCTTCGTAGCAAGCCCAACACGAGCACGTTGCAAACGGACAGCGATGGTTGGGTTCTTGAATGCCCCAGACACAGAAAAGACTCTATCTGCCCTCCTCCTCCTTCTCCTCCTCCTCCTTCTCCTCCTCCTCATACTCCTCCTCCTCCCTCCTCCCTCCTCCCTCTTTCTCCACCACATCCCAATTCCAACCGCCACATCCAATTATCCTCCTCCTCCTCTTCCTCTTCCCCCTCATCTTCCTCCTCCTCCTCTGGCCCTCTTCCTATCGTATTTTTATGTTGTATCTCCTCGTCCTTATCCACCTCCTAGGCTCTCCGTTCTCAAATTCCGCCACTCCTGTCCTTCCTCTCCCTCCACATTCTCCCCCTGGCAGACCTCCCTCACATCCAATTCTCTCTCCTTCTCCTCCTCCTCCTCCTCCTCCTCCTCCTCCTCCTCCTCATCTTCCTCCAACTCCTCCCGCATCATATGTTCCTCCTCCTGCTCCTCCTCCGTCCTCATCCCCATCTTCATCCTCGTACTCATACTCCTTATCATCATCACCATCACCGTCACCATCACCAGCATAATCATCATCATCATCATCATCATCATCATCATCATCATCATCATCATCACCACCACCATCATCATCATCATCATCATCATCATCATCATCATCATCATCATCATCATTCTCATCACCATCATCATCGTGATCATGACCATCATCATCATCATCAGCAGCATCAGCAGCATCATCGTCATCAGCATCATGATCATCACCATCATCATCGTCGTCATCATAATCAGCATAATCAGTATCATCATCATCATCATCTTCTTCATCATCCTCATCAGCATCGTCATCATCATCATCATTATCAGCATCACCATCATCATAATAATCATCAGTATGAGCATCATCAGCATCATCAGCATCATGAGCAACAGCATCATCATCATCATCATCATCATCACAACCATCACCAGTATCATAATCACACCCATCATCATCATAATCAGCATCAGCATCATCATCGTCGCTGCCATCATATACCTCATCATCAGCATCATCATTGTCAGCATCAGCACCATCACCACCGCCATCGCAATAACATGCAACAGCATCAGCATCAGCATCAACATCATCATCACCATTACCGTCACCACCATCATCATCATCAGCAGCATCATCATCGGCATCATCATCGTCAGCATCAGCATCAGCAGCATCATCATCATCGGCACCATCAGCATGACTATCATCAACATCATCAGCATCATGATCAGCATCATCCTCATGGTACTCATGCTCATCAGCACCATAACCATCAGCATGATCAGAAGCATTAGCATCATCATCAGAAGCATCATCATCAGAAGCATCATCATCGTCATCATCATCAGCATCACCTGCCGACGCCCCCAACTGATTCCCCCAGTCATCCTCATGCTCCCCCTCCTCCCCCGGTCCCAGGTTCCCCCTCTCCTTTCTCTTCCTTATCCTACTCCCCTCCACGTGTTCCTCTCCCCACTCCTCAACTCCACAACCATGTTTCTCGCCCCCGACCTTCCCATCCTGCAGCGTTCCTCCTCCTCCTCCTCCTCCTCCTCTTCCTCCTCCTCCTCCTCCTCCTTTCTCCTCCTCCTTCTCCTCCTCCTCCTCCTCCTCCTCCTCCTCCTCCTCCTACTCCTCCTCCTCCTCCTCCTGCTCCTCCTAGTCCCCGTTTTTTTCCTGTTGGCCCGTGCTCGCCCAAAAGCACAGACCTCCTCACACACACCGACCGAGGCGCGCAGGGCGGAAGGAGCAGCCCCGGACAACCCAACGACGCAGCGCTGCTCCGCCTCCTGTCCCTCCTCTCTCCGGGGCCCTCCCTGTACTCCGCCCACCGTCCTCCGCCCACCTCCGCCTCCTTCTCCTCCGCCCGCCTCCGCCGCCTCCTCCTCCTCCTCCTCCTCCTCCTCCTCCTCATTCTCCGAACCTCCCCCCTCCCCTGCCCTCCTCGCCTGCGGCAAGAACGCGTGGCAGGTGGAAGGGAAACTCCATCACACCAGCGACGGCGCCATGGCGACATCATCAGAGCCAGGTGCACGCCGACCGAAGGACGCCAGGGCCCCCGCCACGCCGCGCGGACCCTCGAGGGTCCCGTTCCCACGGATCTGCGCGCTTCGCTTCGCTTTCGGTCGCTTCGCTCCGCGTCGCGTCCCTTCGTGTCGCGTCGCTTCGCTCCTCCTCCGTCCTCCTCATCCTCCTCTTCACCAAATCACCATCAGTACCACCATCATCATCATCATCATCATCATCATCATCATCAGCAGCATCATCATCAGCATCATCACCAGCATAATCAGCACCAGCATCAGCATCATCATAATCGTCATCATCAGCGTCATCAACATCACAACCACCATCACCGTCATCATCACCGTCATCATCATCATCATCATCATCATCATCAGCAGCAGCAGCAGCAACAGTATAATCCTCAACATCGTCAGCATCATCACCACCACCGGCGTAATCATCACAACCATGATCAGAAACATCACCGCCGCCACCACCATTTTCATCCTCCTCATCACCAGCAGCAGCATCATGAGCATCACCATCATCATAACCACACTGAATCATCATCGTCCACATCATCATCATCATCATCATCATCATCATCATCATCATCACCACCATCACCATCATCATGATCATCGGCATCGTCATCATCAGCAGAATCACCATCAGCATCATCATCAGCATCATCATCATGATCATCGGCATCATCATCAGCAGCAACATCAGCATCAGCATCAGCATCAGCAGTATAAACATCGTCATCAGCATCATCATCATCATCATCATCATCATCACCGTCATCACCATCCGCATCATCAGCCGCAGCATCACCATAATCATCATCAGCATCGTCATCATCAGCATCAGCATCGCCATCGTCATCATCACCACCATCATCAGTATCGTCAGCATCGCCACCAGTATCATCATCATCGTCATCATCATCATCATCAGCAACAGCAGCAGCATCATCATCATCACCAGCATCGTCAGCAGTAGCAGGACTCTCATCATCAGCATCATTGGATCATTGGCATCATCCTCAGCAGCCGCAGCATCATCGTCAGCATCCTCATCGCCATCATCATCATTGCAGCATCAGCACAGTCATCGTCATCTTCACCAGCAGCAGCAGCATAATCATCAACATCATCATCGGCATTATCAGCATCATCATCAGCATCATCAACATCATCACCACCAACTGCCTCCCTCCTCCCCCTCCCTACGGCAATCGCCAATCCACGGCTCTGCCGCACCGAAAGATCTCGGCCCACTCACATGCAAGAGGGGCTGATCTTCCCGTAGGACTCGGTGACCTGGCCCCAAGCGCACTGCCGCCCCCCCCCCCCCCCTTCTCCCTGCCGCCGGGGGAGGCCAATTGAGGAGGAGAAGACGGGGGAGGAGCCTCCTCCTCCTCCTCTCCCACCTGGCGCCTCCCCATCCCTCCTCAATCCTCCTCCTCCTCCTCCTCCTCCTCCTCCTCCTCCTCTCCTCCTCCTCCTCCGCCTCCTCCTCCTCCTCCTCCTCCTCCTCCTCCTCCTCCTCCTCCTCCCCTCTCCTCCGCCTCCTCCTCCTCATCCTCCTCCTCCTCCTTCTCCTCCTCCTCCTCCTCCTCCTCTTCCGCCTCCTCCTCTACCACCACCTCCCTCATCCTCATCCTCCTCCCCCACCCTGTTCAAGCCTCATCCTGCCTCCTCCTCCTCCTCCTCATTCTCCAAACCTCCTCCTGTCTCACACTCTCATCGCTCTCAATACCTGCCTCCGCCCAATCTCCCACATGCTGCTTTTGGTATCCGCGTCCTGCCCCTTACACTCCTCATCCTCCTCTTCTTCTTCCTCCTCATCCTCATCCTCCTCCTTCCATCCAGCGGCTTCTTCATGCGCAATCTTTGTCCCGAGCAATGGATGAGCACATCGTCCCTCCTCCACAGCGTTCTATACGAGGGAGGGGGCGCCCTTGAGGATACACGCTGGTCGGAGAAAGTATTCAGGACAACATGGAATGGGACGACGATTCAAATACGAAGGACACAACCCACCACGAGAAAGGACATGACGAAACGCTCTGGGCTTGCTGAAGCTGGAAAGCGACTGGATTAGACGAGGAGCCGATCTTGGAAACCAATAGTCCACCGCCGCCCCGAGGCACGACGTGGAGTCTCCTGAGGTGCAGGATGCAGAAGACGGAGGCGTGGCGGGCGAAACAAGACGTACCATCGGGTCCCAACGAGCTCGCTGCACTGAGCATCGAAAGTACCCAAGGGCCCCAGAGCCCCTCCCCGCGGAACTCCGGGGCGCTTCTTGGCACTCCCTGCCTGAGCACGCCGCGTGAGGCCATGGGAGTGCGGCTGGATGTCCTCACTTTCCACGTGACCCGAGATGGCCCCCCAGGGGACTGTCCAGGGCTATCTTGGGAGCCTCCTGGGCCATCTGGGAGGGCCTGGGGCTGGCCCAGGAGGGCAAAAGTCACCGAAGAGTCGGAAAGTTAACCGCCTGCCAGCGAGTACCCAAAACTGTGAATCATTGCACTGTGGACGTGTTAGCTGAGTGGTGCGGCCTATACGATGGAAGCCATGTGGCGGACGCTAGTGGCGTACGCTTTGCTGTGTACGCCAGCGTGGACCCCAAACTGTGAGTTGTTGCACTCTGAATGGGCTCGCTGAGTGGTGCGGCCTATATGCTGATGCTGAAAGCCATGTGGCGGAAGCGCTGTGGCGCAAGCAACGTGAGCGACGAACAAAAACAAATCTTACACGAGATGGCACAGCGACCTAACGCCGCCGCCAGCGCGGGACGCTTCGCTGGAGACGAGGGCGCTTACGCGCGACCTCACAGCTCACGCGCCAGCGTCTGCGAAGGCGACCCCGTCTGCTTGCGGCGGCGCACACTCTGTGGCGTAGGCTCTGTGGCGCAAGCTTTAAGTCGGGCCTGTCCCCCTACAGGGGGATTCTCGACGAAAATATGAAAGATACCCCCACAATAATCAAAGTCTAGTCCAAAAATAGTCCGGGGACTATTTTTCGAATCTTTTTTGACCCTTTTGGGATATGCTTTGGAGTAATTTTGGATCATTCGTCGAAAAGCCCCCTGTAGGGGGACAGGCCCGACAGAACGCCAGCTGCGTCGTGCAAGGCTGCGCGGGCCTGGCCGCGCTGCGCGAGCGGCCTCTTTGGGGGCCCGCGAGGCGCCCACGGCCGCCCTCCGCCGGCGAAAGCCCTCCCCCCCCGCGACAACAAAAACCCAACCCGCGCACGGGATCGCCCGCGGGGCGCCCAGGAGGCCCACGGCCGCCCACCGGGCGAAACCTCGCCCTCCCCGCCCCATGCCTCATGTCGGGCGCGTCCCCCTATACCGGGGGACTGTCGACGACATATAAAAATGACCACAACACAATACCCCCAAAAGGTCAAACAATGCTCAAAAAATAGTCCCCAGGCTATTTTTGGATTGTGTTTGGACTATTTTGGGGGTATTTTTATTTTTTCGTCGAAAAGCCCCCTGTAGGGGGACAGGCCCGACATAACCCATGCCCCATCACAACACGCAACAAAGCTCCAAGTGAGCGTTTCCTTACGCGGCGCTTCGACGCTGGGCGGAAAGGGGGGGGGAGAGGGGCGGCGTCTCTGGCTCTGGACCTCTGCGTTGCGCGACGGTTTGCAGCCGTGCGCCCCATGGTGGAGAAGCCCCCAAAACAGCCAAGATCCACTCCGTGGGGGGGGGAGCGCGGGGGAGGGTCGGGGATGGACAGACCTCCCTTTAGTAAAACGTGGTTTAGTGAAAACGATCCGAGGCCCAAACCTGGCGGGCGCAAGCCTGCAAAATGACGGCCGCGGCGCCCTCTCGAGAACCGAAAACGGACAGTTCACTAATCGACGTGTCACTGTTGGGGGCTCTGTCCGCCCCCGAGAGGGGCGAGGGCCCGCGCCGATCGGCAAAACAATGAATGAAAAGACGACCACCGAGTGCACGCACTGTTTGGGGAATGTGGTGCTCACATGCTCTCGGCGTTGCGGCCCTGAGAGCCTCGGAGACGGCGCAGGAGGCCGCGTGATCCGACCAAGGGGCCCCCGAGGCTCCCAGAAAGGGCCCCCCCCAGAGGGGGGTCTCCGGGGCCGCCCGGCCCCAGAGCCCCCGAGGAAGACGGCAGGCCCCCGAGGAGGCCCCCGAGGAGGCCCCCGAGAGGCCCCCGAGAGGCCCCCGAGAGACGCCCGAGGCCTTCTTCCGCGCCGCAGGCACGGTGGTGGGGAAAGGCCAAGGCCGAGGCCTCCTTCCGCGCCGCTATCACGGTGGTGGGGAGGGGCCGCAACGGCAACCGGATCCGCAGCCCTCCGCTGAGGCGCACGACGCGCCGCACGTCACGAAGCTGTTGGCCCCTTGTACGGTTTCTAGTGGGCCACGCCGCTATCACGGTGGTGGGGAGGGGCCGCAACGGCAACCAGATCCGCAGCCCTCCGCTGAGGCGCACGACGCGCCGCACGTCACGGGGCTGTTGGCCCCGTTTCCGGTTCCTAGGAAGAGGAGGAGGAGGAGGAGGAGGAGGAGGAGGAGGAGGAGGAGGAGGAGGAGGAGGAGGAGGAGGAGGAGGGGGAGAAGGAGGCAACTGGATCCGCGGCCCTCCGCTGGGGCGCACGGCGCGCCGCCCGTCACGAAGCTGTTGGCCCAGTGTACGGTTTCTATGAAGGGGCCCCAGGACACACAAATATAAATACACACAAATAAAAACATTCACCATGTTTTCCCATATGTTCTGGGTTTCTGTCTTCCCCCCCACTTCCCATATTTTCCCCATATTTTCTGGGGAATCGAGCATTAATTGTGTCTGTGTGTTTTTTCCTCTCCTGATTCTAGTGGGCCTTTTGGGCCCACTACCCGCCGGCCGGCGCCGCGGGCCGCCCGCGCTGCGCCTCCCCCGCCGCCCCCCGCGAGAGGAGGGGGGGGGGAGCGAGGAGGAAGGACCAGGAGGGGGGGGAGGAGGAGGAGGAGGAGGAGGAGGAGGAGGAGGAGGAGGAGGAGGGAGGAGGAGGAGGAGGAGGAGGAGGAGGAGGAGGAGGAGGAGGAGGAGGAGGAGGAGCGAGGAGGAAGGAACGAGGAGGAGGAGGAGGAGGAGGAGGAGGAGGACGAGCGAGGAGGAGGAGGGGGGGGGAGAATGGTTTGGGGAGGGGGGGGGCGTGGAGAGGAGCCGGGGGGAGGGGTGAGGAGGAAGGAGTGGGGAGGGGCAGAGATCTTCCCAAGAGGCGGGGGGCAAGGGTCTTGGCCGCCCCATGAGGACTTGTCAACGTCCCAGGTCGCCGGCCTTGCCGCTCCAGACGGCCCCGAGATGGCCTCCGAGACGGCAAAGATGGTCTCCAAGACGGCTACGATGGCCCTAAGGAGAGCTTTTTCGTTCCCAAGGCATGGAAGGCGCAAGTATAACGCGCTCGGTAGGCGGTCGCCTTTTGTTGGGCCAGTTCCGGCCCAGAGAACGGGCGTGGACAAGGAGGGCACGGTCACGAGCTTCCGCTCGCAGCCGTTCCTCTAGTGGCGGCTTCTGGTAGCTGCCACCAATTAGCTGAGGTCCACACCCACTCCTGGCAAAATGTTTGAGAAGGTGTAGATGTCCCAAGAGAGCCCAAGATGGCCCCAAGATGTCTTCAAGACGGGCCGCGGCGCCCCCGAGAGGGCCCTCTGTGACCTCGGGACCGCCCAAGACAGGCCTCCGAGACGGCCCAACGGCCCAGAAGGCCTACAAGATGGCCCCTAGGAAGGCCCGAAGCGGCCAAAATCATTGATGAGCGTCTTGAGCATGTAACGCGCACAGCGTGTCTTTGAGGATGGATCGCGCCCGGCGTGTTTTTGACTTTGGCGCCCCTCTGCTGTGTACCACCCGCTGCTAGACGTATACAGCCCGTAGCGGGAGGCGCCCTGGAGGCATCATGGAGATCAGTGTGTCCCTTGGGTTTTTCCGGATTCGGGCGTTTCCTCATTTCCGGCTTTCCGACGGCCAAAGACGGCCCCAGAAGCCACCAAGACTGGCCAAAGAGCCCAACAGAGGCCTCTGAGATGGCCCCCTGGCGGCCCAATAGGTCCCCAAGACGGCCCAGGAGATCTCCAAGACGCCCAAGATGACCTCCAAGAAGACCCTAAAGCGTCCCAAGAGGGCCCCAAGTCGGCCCAGAGAAGACCCCAAGACGGCTTCGAAAAGGCGTCAGACGGGCCAGGAACGCCCTCAGACGGCCAAAGAGTCTCCCAAGGAGTTTCGAGAGGCCCACGAGAGGCTCAAGGAAGACCCCAAGAGGCCTCTATGAGACCCCCAAGGGCCCTCAGAGTGCCCCCGAAGGATCCCAGGAGGCCTTCTCCGTTCCCCCTGTTCTCCTCACTCTCCTCCTCTTTTTCTCTCCCCCGCGTGGTCCCCGCAGGGTTCCCACAACGCCTGGGAAGAACACCTTGTCCGATAGCTTGACCGAGCTCTGGCCACAACGTTCGGTCGCGCAGGCGCTCTCAAGAGGCAAGTGGCGGCGGTGATTCGCCGCGGGCGGCTACGATCCGACGCCCCAGCAACTTTATCGAGGGCAATTGGCGTGCCAAATTCTCAACCGCGGTTGGTTCCCACCAAAAGAACTCAACTGGCCCTCTGCCTGGCCCGCCGCCACCGCAGAACGACCGGGAGACCAAGTGACCTCGCCTCCAGAGTGCCAAGATGGTCCAAGATAGCTGCCAAGATGGCCCACGGCGGCTCGAGATGGCATTGTCTGCGCTTCCCAGACGACCAAGGTGACTCCAAGATGACCCAAGAAGGCACAAACAAGATCAGAGAGGCCCTACTGGACCCTCTTAGGCCGTTTTGGGGGCCGTTTTGGCCGGCGCGGAAACTAAAGGCATTGAACAATCATGTGTGTTTTTCAATATTGTTCGGGATTTTGCCTTTTCAGTCGGAAGGGCGTCCAAGACGGGCCAAGGGACCCCGAAGACCAGCCAAAGACGGTCCAAATAGGCTCCAAGAACTCCAACACGGCCCAAGAGGACCAAAAACGAATTGCCTACGAAATCGCAAGACGGCGCCCAAGAGCGCCCTCAGACGGCCCCAGAAGGCCCCAGGATGACTTAAACAAAACCGAACAGGCCCCCCAAAAGGCCCGCAAGGCCAGAGCATAGCCTTAAAGCAGCCGCAAGAAGACGGACCCAGCGCGCTCCATCCGCAATGTTTTCCCACTGGTTTCCCCAACAACTGTGGGAATGCGCAGTTTGCTCGGCACTTAACGACGCAGGCGCTTCCGAAAGACAGGGGGCCCCGGTGACTGGCCATAGGCGTCCTCGACACCTGCTTCCCATGGCGCGCGAATGCACAATCAAATCGATCAGCGCCACGGACGGGCAGCGAAGCGCATCACCGAATCGGTCGAGCCGCGGACGGCCTGGTCCACGGCCCCGAATCGCGGGCGATCGACCGCGTCGTCGGATCATAGAACCGATCGGTCATCGGTCGATCAGAAGATCCCGCCCACCGTCTCTGCCAACTCTCAACTGACTTAAGTCCCCCGCCGCGTTCTTCACGGGGCCGCCAGCGCGGGCGTCCATCAGCCTGGGGCGCCCCGCCTTTTTTCCCGCAGTCTCAGCATCTGGCCGAATCCGGAAACGGTGAACGCAAAAATGTTACCATTTGTCGGGGGCATATTTCCGTTATTCCGCCACCTTCGGCCCGCCTTGCACCTGCGGAGCCGCCCTCGTTTTACGCCCGCTGGCTCCCGCCTGCCTTCCACCACCTTCCGGCAGAAGGCTGGCGGAGGCAAGGCAAGGCTCGGGGGAGGCCCTTTCGTTCGAAGAATGTAATGATGATGAAGATGATGATGATGATGATGATGATGATGATGATGAGGATGATGATGATGAGGATGAAGATGATGATGATGGTGATGATGATGATGGTGATGGTGATAATGATGATGATGATGATTTCTACCCGGCATCAGGACCAAACGAGCCTGCACAGCGCTAAAGAAAAATATGGTCCGCCGCAGAGAGAATAATCTCTCGTTAGTCCCCGCTCTCGGGACCACGTCTCGCGGGCGCTGACACAGGGGGGCAGCGTCGCGCTGCCGCGACACGCTTCGAGGAGGCATTTATTCGTCAAGCAAAAAGAAACGGCCTCGTCTTCTGCTGCTGTATCGAGCTTATCGCGTCGGCCGTCGGGCCCTTCGAGATGGGGTGACCCCGAGTCGGCAGAGTCTGGCTGTGCCAGCCCTGCCGACCCCGAGTTTGCTGGCCCAGACAAGAAGACAGAAGATGAGACTGGCGGCGCGCGCCCTGCGACACGCTCCAGCTCTGTGTCTTCTGAGACTGGCAGCGCGCGCCCTGCCGACCCCGAGTCGGCAGCTGCTGGGGGGTCTGGCCTAGAAGCGAAGACAGAAGCTGCTGATACTGGCGGCGCGCGCCCGCGGGCACGCTTCTGCTTTGAGTCTTCTGAGACCGGCGGCGAGCGCCCTGCGGCATGCCCCTGCTCTGAGTCTTCTGAGGGCGGGCGCCGGCGTTGTACCAGCACACCGTGGCGGCCGGCTGGGGGCGGGGATCCCCTAACAAAAACTATTGATCGAGTCTCTCCAGCCAGTGCGCCGCCTCTTCCTCAAGCCACCCCGCTGGCGCCACACCACGATGGTGCTGCGCCGCGCCCCCGGCGGCCATCGCCTTCATGATTAGCTTGCGACCAGGCCGCTCTGGGGCCCCCACGATCAGCTTGGTCTTGTCCGCGTCGAAGTATCGCTTGAGCCGCATGAAGCTAATATGCTGCTGCAGCTCGTACTTCGTGATTTCGACTTCGGCCATCTCGTCGGGCGGCTGGGCCTGCCCCAGGTAGGCGCTGATATCCTGCTTGAATGTTCCGCCCACGTCGCACTTCAGGGGGCTCTCCAGCGCGGCGAGCCCCAATGCTGGAGCCGAGGCCCTATCTCCTTGAGCTTATGCTTGTCCTCCGCGTCTCCGCTGCGGAGCTTGCCGAGCATGTTCTTGTGGCCCTCCAGCTCGGCAGAGATCCCGTCCGCGAGTGGGTGCTTCGTCGCCATCGTGCACGCGTCGATGTTGACGCTGCTGTCGAGGTGCCTCCCGCGCGCGGTCTGGAGCAGCAGCCTGAGCGTGGTGCGTGGCAAGGCCATCAGGTTATTGTCCTTGCTGCTCCAGACCTTGTCGCTGTGGGCCCCCCATCCTCGCCCTGCGGCCGCCCCTGCGCTTCCTGCGCATGTCGCCCTTGCCTGCCTGCTCGTCCTCGTCGACCTCGGTCGCCGCGTCGACTGGCGCTCTCGGTGACTGACCTGGCCTCATCGGCGGCTTCTGGAGGCGGGGCTCGGCCGCGGGGGAGGGCCCCCTCGTCGCTGCTAGAGGAGGCGACAGATGCTTTGGAGCGCTTGGAGGAGTCCAGGGGGAGGCGCCAGCTCGCGCGCTTCGGCTCGGCTGCTGGCCGCGCGGCCTCGGCGGTGGAGCCCTCCCTGGCGGCGCCGCCGCTGCCGCCGTCGCGCTCGCGTCGTAGCACTGGCAGTGCGGGCGTCGACGCAGCGGCGGAAGATGGAGCCGCTGTTGGAGCCGCCGTCGGGGGCGCTGCTGTCCGACGTGGTGGTCGAGCGACGCGTGGCCGATGTCGAGGAGCTTCGCGCGTGCCCAGAAAGAAGTCCGCTGTTCGACGGAGGGCTGCCCCGGCTGCTGGGGCGCCCTCGATCGCGCGAGGCGGCCGAGGCGCAGGTCTGAGCGAGGCGGCTGCTCGAGGCCGTGCTGGGCCCGACTTCGTCGGGCGGGCCTCGGCCCTGATAGTCGGCTCGAGCATCGGCCCCGATGGCGGCGGCGGAAGATGCGAGAGAAGATGGGCTTTATACTGAGAATACTCCTGAAATTCGCGCTGGCAGGCGGGACCGAGCTCATATTCACGAAGGGGTCACTGTAGGTGCACATGCAGCCTGATGCCGTGGACATACCTGATGTGTGAGCTCCGCTATACACCGACCCGCAATCCATGAACGTCGTAGACGTCGTGCATCGTGATCTTGAGTTGGGAAAGTAGTCCGGCATGCGGTACATTTGCTGTCGGCCTGTAACGTTGTGACGAGTGATGGCACACCGCGTCCGGCCCCCCGAGATTTCGACTGACGTGTAACCAACTGTTTGAGAGTCCCAAACCGTAGCCCACAAGAGGGAATTCAACATACGAGCGGGCGATTGATTTCGTCGTCGCTGTCCGTCTCGTCGCACGAGGTTGTCGAGGGGGGGGGAGCAACATGCTGGCCCCTGGTGGTGCGCATTGTAAGGTCCAGTAGGAGGCTCTGAGTGCACGAACGTCGCAATACTGGAAAGCGCTCCGAACATATTCATCTCCCCGCAGGTTTCTGACAACGGGCGGTTGCCGCACCTCCTGGAAACTCTCGCCGTTGGGGTGCGACGCCAGGCACAGCGGGTCATCCGCGAGCTGCTTGGCCCACGGGTGAACACTCGGAGCAGCGGAGATCCCATCCTGCTCGTTGAAGGTGGAAGCACTGACTGGGCGGTGACTTATGGCCGCCTGCTGCTTGAAGCGACATCGCCCAAAAAAGGTAGCAAGGAACCAGCCGTGGTGGCTCGGGTTCTGCACAATGCTCTGCCACCAGCTTAATCTGCGCACGAGTAGTTCGATGGCCGACGGAGCAATCTGCCACTCCTGAAACACCTGATTGGTTGCGAGAGAAGAATGGGCATCCTGCTCATCGAGGTGACGCGCCGCACCTGTCATCACAGCTCGAAGTTTCCAAGAACGTGAGCTGTCTGGACGATGTAGTCCGCGTGGGCGAAGGGCGCAGCTTTCCAGTCCTGACCACAGGCGCCCCGCGACGTTGGACACGAACGACAGTCGTTTGGCCTTTGGCCTTCCAGGGGCCGCCCGAGAACCAGTATTCTCCAAGACGCGCCCAGCCCACGCTCCCAGATTGTATTCGTGCTTCAATTTCACGACGGTTATTGTTGGCCACATTGACGTAGCCCCCCAAGTGAATGAAGTCCTGGACCGCGTTGCCCGATACGTTACTCTCGACGTCCCGAGTGGCCCCGCGCGTGCCCAGAGAGACCAGGGTGACCTGCTTACCTACGTTCTGGGCGTAGCCTCCGAAGCCCACGGCATGGGAGAGGGAGCGGTTGTTGATCGCATCGAACTGGAGGGCCTGGAGCACGGTGCCGTCGGGCACCAGAGGGACCTTGAAAAAGTCATCGATGAACGCGCCAATGCGCGCGTCGTAGCTCTCGGTCGAGAAGGGGCACACTACTTGAAAAGGGTTCCCTTGGACTTCGGCCACTTCCTCATTCTACCTGGCCACCAACGGGCAACAAGCTCCCATGAATAATTCAGGTTCGCTTGAATCTCCCATCCCCCCCCCCCGTGCCTGGCCGAAGAGCAAGGGGGGGTCTGAGGCCTGGGGGTGCACTGCCGCCTCCTCGCGACGCTGCTAGAGAACTGGCTGAAAGTGATCGTCTGCGCACCGAACAGCGCGCACGGCGATGAGACGCATGTGTTGCCCCGTCGCAAGCGCATTGCGCATGTCATAGGCTTTGGCCAGGAATGCCAAGCGCGCAGCTCGGAGCTTCCAGATCAAGAGCTTAGCCATCAGCACGAGGGCCTCACGGCGCGCGGAATGGACCCCTCCGCAGGCCTAGTCGGGGGGGGGGCGTGGGCGGCGCCATATTGTGGCAGTCCGACGCGGAGACGCAGCCGCCAGAAGCGATCAAAACCATGGGGTGGCCGTGCGCATGAGTGAATGTCGGCGATGACGTCGCCAGTGGGGGCTTCTCCTTCTCTTCCAATCGCCACTGCTTGGCTCGCGCAGGCCTGAGCTGGGAGAGATCCACCGCGGTGACCGTTGGCAAGTAGAGTGACGAAGGCCTGCGCGATTGCATAGCGCTGGCCATAGTCGAGCGGGCGAGAGGGCCGGCATGCTCGCAGTCAGCGTTGGCGCGTCCAAGTCCAACGCGCTGCACGCCACGTTGCGCGAGGCACTGCGGGTGCAAGAGCATGATGGCGACTTCCAACGGCCAGCCCCATGGTAGGTTGTAGCGTCGGCGCTTCGCCTGCCACAATCGTTCCTGGATGTGCTCCAGCCCCTCGGCCGCTGCCGCGATGTCCTCGATGCTTGGGGGGGGGGGGGGGGGGGGGGGGGGGTCACTTTACAACCAGAAGCGCACTTTACAACCAGATGGGTCACTTTACAACCAGCTTACAAAATCCGAGAAGGGCACTTTACAACCAGGAAGGGCACTTTACAACAAGGCAAGTAAAAACACATATTGAATGCACGCGTGCCTTTCCCTGAAATCTCCGCGGGCAAGCGCAAGGGCGGCCTTGGGCTCTTTGAGGCATGTTGGTTGTAAAGTTGCCCATCGCGCACAAAGAAGCACTGCGCACGAGTTGGCGATGCGGCGACCTGGTGCGCTATGGCATGTTGCGTGCTGGTGGGCGGATTCGAGTTTTGACCTGCTCTCTAAGCCCTGTCGGTCAGTTCTGCCATTGCTTGCTCTGCCTTTTTTTCTGACGGGCGAAGGCTAGTCGCGCAGGACATACGAATAAACCATGATCCCGTCCAA